CTGGGTAACCTACAGATGACATCTCAACCAGCTGGAGTGGTTCCAGCAGCGCTGCCTCAGGAGATTCTCAGGATCAGCTGGGAAGACTTACACACTGACATCAGCGTTCTCTCTGCAGCCAACATCAGCACTATGGAAGCGCAGGTCATGAAACACCAACTCCGCTGGGCTGGCCACTGTGTACGTATGCCTCCCAAAGCAAGTACTCTTCTCTCAGTTAAGTCAGGGAAGAAGGGCTCGTGGAGGGCAGCGAAAGCGTTTCAAAGACATACTGAAAGTACAGCTTAAAAAGGGAGGCATCATCCCAACAAATCCTGGGAGGACTTGGTGCGGAACAGAACACGGTGGTGCCACATCATACACCAAAAGCCACAGCTCACTTTGAGGAGAACAGAGGTGCTCATGAGACAGAGAAACGACAAAGGAGGAAAGAAAGAGCACAGCATTCCAGCCAACAACTATATATATCTCCTCCAAGATTACAACTGTCACTTCTGTGGGAAAATTTGCAGGGCAAGAATTGGGCTCCTCAGCCACTTAAAAAGTCATCAATGAACCCCCTTGGCAGACATTATCCTCGCATCGAGGGATAGCCGAAGAAGAAGAATGTTTCCTCCGCATTGGTGCTAAACTGGTGTGACAGAGGAATATGGAGTAAGGCAACTGAGCTTCAGTTAAATACTGATAGGGTATCCAGTCTCCAGTGCGCCTTATACAGATCTCATATGTACCTAGTTTTCTGACAATGGACCAAAAGTGACCAAAGTGAAACAGTGCTAGAACTTCTCAATGCATTTGTGGCACAACAGCATTTGCATCTCTTAGTTATAGACTGGGGGCTCAACGCAGGGATTCAGTGGCAGCCAAACCTAGGCCACAGCAAATCAGCATGTGCCACAATAACTATCAGCAATGTGATTTGAGAATGCAAAGATTTCAATGCTCAACACTTAGACCCCTTAGCCTAGAGATGCCTTTCAATAATCTACGCTTGGAATGCACTGAGGCCAGCAGAAGGGCTAATTTAGAAAATAGGGAGCATGTTTCTTGAAAGCAAAAAAAAAAGTGTGGCTGAAAACCATCTGTTAAAAAACTTATTTGATAAAATCGGTCTTTTCTGCCCAATTTTTTAACTGCAATAATGTCATCTTTACTTCGTCTAGCAAAGGTGATGTTTTTCCACCAAAAGGCTTTTCTTTTGCTGCTGTTTTTTTAAAACCAGCAAAGCCTATATTGGGATGACCCTGTAATGGGTCTATTAATCATCTGTGGCTGCTAAATGAAGTGTATCTATTTTCTCTGTTACATTACTATTGGCAACCAGGTCTTCAGTAAGTGCCCAGAAATATTTCCATGGCAACAAAAAGCATTCAAGCATAGCTCTTGTTTTGTGCCAATTTAGCTTAAAAATCTTCTGTTGTAGAGGGGAATATGGTACATTAAAGTAAAATAAAATCAAGATGCAATGTTCTGAAAAGAGTCCAAGGATAAACAGGAAACATGTATTTTACAGGACCAAGGCAAATAATGCCAAATGCAAGATGAAAATTTTTCAAAAGTTTAATATTTATGCTAGTGAATGACTCTCCTTTACTGAATGCCTGCCAGCCCATATGCTCACTTATGTTGTCATTTAGGGTTAGGAAGAAAGCTAACAGAAACAAGGATACCTCTTACATTTCCCTTGATCATTTCAATCCAGTTGTAAATCCTGAAATTTAAAGTTGTCAGGGTATCCCATCTTCTCACATCTCAATTATCATCAGATCATTTCACATGCTCAGTGTCAATCAACGGATCCAAAGAGCGATGGGAAAGATGAAGGAAGGGCATGTATGTTTAGGAAGAGGTATGCCACATTTTGGGTAGGAGAACATGTTCAATCACATCCAAGACAGGGGAAATTTAAAAAATCTCAAGCGAGACACTTTCAATCACGGTTCGGTGATTTAACACTTTACGGCGAGCTGCTGCAATGTATATGTTTTAGATAGATCCGAGATAAAAGAAGTCAGGGCTTCATGCCATATCGTGCCCTTGATCCATGCCTGCAACTTCACTGCCATCAAATCATGAGGGCACAATATGGTCCGTAGTGCAGTGCAGAGTGGAGGAAAAAGCACTAGGAGTGTAGAAAGCTGGGGCTTACAGGTGAAAAGGAAGGGGCTTCGGGCAAAGCAGCTGGGTGGGCTGGGGATCTCTGCAGAGCAGGGCTCCATGATGGCTCCATATAGACTAATGTGGCGAGAGGGTGGTAGGAATCAGGCCATAAGAACTAACATGGATCCAGTGGCCAGGAACTCCCATAGAACAGGCACTGAGAGAACGTGGTCATTATTCCAGTCCTTTAATGTCAAATCCTGCCCTCAGTTTGGGGAAGGGGAAGGAGGGCTGGATTTCATCCCATTGCACAGCCACATAAATACCTGATTACTCTGGTTTCATGCAGCATTTGTGAATTTCACCTTCTAGCAGACACCACTCCTGAGGCATGGATTTCTAACCTGAGAATTCACATTGATCCAGCTCTAAAATACAATATCAAAGGCATCAGGCAGGGCAGTTTGGGGGAAGGGGGTGATGGTGGGAAAGAGTAGCATTGGCTGGTTATTCCTTCCTTTCTAATTATTTACTTATTTAATGGGGATGATGGTGCAGGGGGAAGAAAGTAAAGGACAGATTTAAATTTTTCTTGAAGGGCCACTGCCAAGATTTACACCATCCATGTCTGATCTCCCTACCAAGTATCAAAACAAAGGGCCAGATCCTGTGCAGTATCGAGCACCATACCGGAGGTGCTGAGCACCCACAGCTCGCACTGGCAACAGTGGGAGTCGAAGGTGTTTAGCCGCTCTCAGGAGAGAGCTTTTGCAACAGCAGGTTCAAATTTACAGAAGTGTCTAAATGCCATTTTCAAAAGAGTTAAGCACTTGGAAGTCTTAATCACTTTTGAAAATTTTACCCTAGGCCAAGAGAAAATATAAATTCCCTGAAACAATGGCTTTAATACATCATTACCTATATACAATGTAGTCGGGATGCTAGTTTTCGTGCAGTGTCCACATAGGCTTTACACCTCTGCCAGCTCTCCCTGATCGCACATGGAAAGTGGATTGACAGAGGAAATTCCACATGAACATACACACAATGAGGTCACATGCAACATTGTGCAGAAGCACAGAAATTCCAGACCACCACCACCCACCTCGAAGGGTGTTGTGTTTAAAGTTGCTCGTCAGCCAAAGTTTTAAGATTACTGCAGCCCTCTCTCTCTCCATTATTAGGGGGAAAACTAGTCTGAGTCCTTTGGGTAGCTGACATACAGATCCTTAAAACTATACATTTAACTTATAGACTCATAGACTCAAAGGCCAGAAGGTACCATCATAATCATCTAGTCTGACCTCCTGCAAATTACAGGCCACAGAACCTCACCCACCCACTCCAGTAATAGACCCCTAACCTCTGGCTGAGTTACTGAAGTCCTTAAATCATGGTTTAAAGACTTCAAGTTACAGAGAATCCACCATTTACTAGTTTAAACCTGCAAGTGACCTGTGCCCCATGTTGCAGAGGAAGACAAAAAAAAATGCAGGGCCTCTGCCAATCTGACCTGGGGGCGAATTCCTTCCCGACCCCAAATATGGCGATCAGTGAGACCCTGAGCATGTGGACAAGACCTACCAGCCAGATACCTGGGAAAGAGTTCTCTGTAGTAACTAAGACCCTCCCCACCTAGTGTCCAATCACCACTTGTTGGAGATATTTGCTGCTAGCAGTCGCAGATCAGCTACATGCCATTGAAGGCAGTCTCATCATACCATCCCCTTCGTAAACTTATCAAGCCCAGTCTTGAAGCAATTATTAGGGGGATATCTGCTATGCATCCTTTGGGTAGCTGAGATTCAGACCCCTGAAACGATTCATTTAACTTATTTATTTTTTTTAAATCAAATTCTGATCTATTTCCTACTTAGTGTCCTCTTCATAGGCGCCGACTCCGTGGATGCTCCAGGGCTGGCGCACCCATGGGGAAAAATTAGTGGGTGCTCTGCACCCACCGGGAGCCAAGCTCCCTGCCCCACTTCACCTCCTCCTCCACCTCCTCCCCTGAGCGAGCCGCGTCCCCGCTCCTCAGCCTACCTCCCAGCGCTTGCCTCCGCCAAACAGCTATAGCAAGCTCTGGGAGGCGGGGGGAGGAGCAGGAATGTGGCACACTCAGGGGAGGAGGTGGGGAAGAGGTGGGGATTTGGGGAAGGAGTCGGAATAGGGGCAGGGAGGGGGCGGAGACTTTGGGGAAGGGGTTGGAATGGGGGTAAGAGGGGCCAGGGCAGGGGTGGAGTTGGGGCGGGGTCAGGGGCAGAGGGGGGTCGAGCACTCACCGGCGCTAGTAGAAGTCAGCACCTATGGTCCTCTTAGATCTTATTTGAAAAGTTGTGAGGAGAAAAAGTGATCTGGGAGTACTTCACCTGTAACTCTCAGAACACATCTAGCTTTCCGTACACCATTTCAAAGCAAACCACACAGAAACATCTTGCGATTCCTGGCAAGGTTTGATTTTCTTTTTTTAAGCAATGATGTACAAGCAGATGCTTCTCAAAGTGAAGGCTTAAGGCGAAAGGCTCCCTTTGAAGGGTTCTGATACCTGAAGCATTTTGGCTGAAATCCACAGCACACTAACATGTCAAGCTCATGAGCCTGAGTTGAATAAATGTGGGACATGAACTGCATTTCTTAATACGGTAACAGGGCCTGATTTTCCTCTAACCTACCGTGTCTTTACACCTGTTGAACTCCACTCACTTTAATGCAATTAATTCTCAAAGACAGAGGAGAATCAGGGCCATTAGCACGGTTGGTTTGGGGATTTTGAAGCTGTGAGAAATCTACAAGAGATGATGTAAAATAAAATGAGTAGATTAATAACTAAATCAATCAAAGTAAAAGGATAGAAATCGGCTCTCTTGCATAATGCTGCCGGGTGGTTACCACCATCTTACCTTCCACACATGCCTTTCCATTAATATTTTCTAATGAGCCAGCCACATCAAGGTCACGCTGAAGATCCCTTATCTGCCTGTTGAGGTAGCCTTCCTCCTCGGGTATGGCAGGAAGCACACCTACCAGCTGGTGGTCATCATATTCTTGGTAAAATCCCTGGGATGACAGAGAGCTGGTGTCGTCTGGACGTTGCTCTGAGGAGCTGGTGCCGCTTCTCACTCTTTTCTGCAATTGCAGATCCATGTTAGAGCCACGGGCAGGTGCCTCGGAATCAAGATCATGACTTGTTGATGGAAAGTGACTGTCTTCAGAATGCACATGCTCAGCACCTTTCATGTTCTGGCTAAAGCTTCCTTCATCTTCCGAATCTTCAGAGTAGTCCTTATAACTGCCGTCACTGTCTTCTAAGTCCTGGTTTCCATCTTCCTCCGATTTGTGGTCCACTCTGCTCAAGTTGACCAATGAAGAAGATAAGGAGTCTCCCGCTTGTTGGACAGCTTCATACATCCGGGACATCCAGGAGGAGAGTGGCTGGAGGAAACTCTGAGCGTTCTGAGAAGCCATGCTTATACCATGACCTGTATCTGATGATCAGTTGTTCAGTTTTGCCAGCATGCCACACTTACAATTCTGTGAGCTATAGAATAAGCATTATAAGAGATTACCGTAAATCACTTGTCCATCAATGTCTATGTGTTACCTATCAAAACTATCCAGCCTAGAGAGAAGGAAAGGCAAGAACCCCTCCACCAGCTTAAAGATACAGCTTCTAAGCCACCACCAGAAATCCAAGATTCCACAGCAAGGCATGCATTTTGTACCAGACACAAATAGCTCCAGATAATCTTATAGCAGCTAGATGAAAGCCATTATGACAAAAACTTAAATACAGACCACTTGAACGCTAGCACTTCCCGTGGTGCTCATACATTACACTATTAGCACCAGAACGATCTATATAAAAATACTCTGTGCTTATATAGCAAATTTCAGCCAAGGTTCTTAAAGCATTTACAAACCTTGATTCCCTTAACACCCCCTTGAGTTAAGTATCATATCATATCCACCCTAAAGATGGGGAAACTCAGGCACATAAAATCTTTTTTTGTTTTGTTTTTTTAATTGATTTGCCCAAAGGTCACACAGTCAATCAACAGCAGACAGAAGCAGAAATCCCCACTCCCAATACTATGCTCTAGCCATTTACTACACAAATGTTTTTTCCCAGGGGGGAACAAGTCCATAGGCTGTATTCATTTCTATGAGAAAGTTTAAAAGGAACATTTTGACATCAATTGTTGGCAAAGGAAGGGGAAGCTGAGAATAATTACAATGTTCTTTTGATGTTTAAATGAAATATAACCATTTTCTACACTCAGGCCCTGATTCAGCCACACAGTTAAGCATGTCTAACTTTCTGCATTGTCAGTAGTCCCATTGAATTAAGTGGGACTAGTCAGAGCCTTAAAGTTAGGCATGTGTTTACATACCTTGCAGAACCAGAACCTAAGACAGTTTCTGATTTTTTGGAAGTAGAGTGTGGAGAGAGGTTTAAAAATCTCAAAACAGGAATGTGTGTCATTTTTTCATCTTCATAAGGATTGCAGAAAGGCAATGGGCCCTTCTCTGCACGCCTCTGGCACATCTGTTCTTCATGTGCCTTTGAAAAATCTTTCCCCACATTACCAGAAAGATATCGGTAAATTCAGGGGGAGTTCAGAGAAGAGGAACAAAAATTACCAAAAGGCTAATGGGTTTAGGAGGAAAAATGGAACCACCTGTACTGCTTGGGTGAGTGACAACTATGGGGAGGGGGGGGAGGGATTTTTTACAACACCAGGAGTGAAATCTGGGCCTCACTGATATCATTGACTTCAAGGGGGCCAGGGTTTCACCCCAAAAGAGAGAAGAATTATATAGCGTGCCACAGGGCAATATAGATAGGCATAACTACATTAAGAAAGGGAAAATAGAGGGGGCCCATCAAGAAAACCTCCCCAAAATTATACATATAAGGCTGCAGAACAGTATCCAAAGGAAACTGACAGGAGCCCCATTTCCTGGGATATATAAAACGAGAGAGAGTCTTTTGTCCAGTCTTTTTTTAGGGAATAGTCCTCCATTGAATTAGACGTGGATGACTCAATCGATCTTTTCAATCTGCACCTTCCAGGACTGATTATTTTGCCAAATGATGTTCTTTTAACTGGCTATGGTTCATTTTGTAGAAATCTCCAAGACATGTGCCGTCATTAGAACGTACTTAAAATGATCATCATTATCCCAGTGATAAAAGCGTGGGTGACTAAATCTTTGACAATACATGTTTAAAAGTTAATGGCCATCACAAAGCCTTCCCGTACATGTGCAGACACTGACCCAATGGCACTTGGAGTCAACTGGAATCTTGCCATTGATTTCAGTGGCCCATTAAACCAAGGTTATATTTCCCATGCAATCACTCACGCCCGTTCCCTTCACTGTCTCCCCAGCTCCCATCCAACCACTCTTCCTCGTATGATCTATTTGTTTTGACTCTGAATTTAATTCATTTTATACTGTCTCCAAATGATATGTTTTCAGCGTGCTGCAGTTTTTACTAGTGATGAGTCACTGCACTGTAGATGTTGGTAGGGACGCTGGCAGTATTGACGGTTGGGAAGGAGAGAGTTAGGCCTTTCGGGGATTTTTAGGTAGGAAGTGATTTGGGTTTGCTACATCCAGCAATGATTGCGAAGCACAGTAGCTAAACATTGCTTCTAAAATGGAACAGTCACTTTAAAAATAAAGAGAACAAAACCTTTCTGCATTTTTGTGAGGGGTTACTAGTTCATGTCCGTGACCCAAGGACCTCTTGGTGCCCACTGGCAGAGGGCACAGGGGTACATAGGGTTACAAGGATCCCCTGCATTCACCAAGAGGGGTCATGTAAGTTCTCTACTGAAAGCATGTGTCACACTGGTCATCATCATCATTGTGAGATGTATGCGCAGATAATGTGTATGGAGTTCTGTATGTATCCTGAAAATTATGTTCTTAAAATAGCTAAGTTAAGACAGGTCACCAGAAGGTGATAAACAGATTCTAGGCAGGAACAGAGGTAGTAAATATTTATATTTCTGGCAGGCCATTGTGTATTGTATGCCTCCGGGCCAACCCAATCAGCATAAAAACAATGGGCATACTTGGTGACAGTTGTGTTTGTTGCCTGGGTCAGGTGCTGGCCTGAAGATTTACAAAGACAAAGGAACTACAAGATCACTCTCTAAAGATAGAACCTCCTGGAGCAAAGGTCCATATTGTGTAACTAAAAAAGAAGTGGAAAGGGGACTAGGTGTCATCCTTTAATCTAAAGCCAAGTTGCCGGCGGGCTTGATTTTATGAAAGGAAGGTCTCAGCCATTCTGGTTGAAAATGCTGGGAAAAGGATTCAGGGTAAGTGATCCTGTAGGAGATACGCTAATGTCCTGTGAGTTAAGTTTAGGCTGTAGCAAGGATGTTATGATTTTTGGGTTATATGTAACTATTTGTTTCCAATATTCTCACTTACTATCATTTGAATCGCTGTTCTGTGATGACAGATATATTTATAGTGAAAACATGAATAAATGTAAGTGCCATGTGTTAAGTAGAGTTAGATGTCAGGTCAGGCTATGCCTGCTACCGTAATGAGAGTAGATGGTACTACCGGCGGCTCATGAAGCCCACTACCTTGTGGGTAGCCCGGGAGGACATAAGGCTAAGGGAGCAGCCCCTGACAGAAAAGCCCCCATGCCTTGGGGTGAATTTGGGAGAATGTAAGGCTATGAGAGTAACTCAGACAGAAAATCTGGACTGAAGCGCCAAAGGCGGTCAGGTACTACCATCTTAGTATCTTGCCGGCAACTCCTGCAGTGGGTCGAGTACCAGATGTATTGGGTCTTCCGGTCCTCTGGATTTTACCAGTGATGCCGAGAGGGGGGTCCTGATGCACAGGCAACTCAGGGCCTCCAAATCATCTGCCCAGGCTTGCACCCTGGAGAGGTACTCCAGCTTCGCCTCGAGCTGTGTTAAGTAGAGATCCTGAGATAATACTGGTAAGCTGGTGTCTAATATTCCTCTGGTAGTCGTGAATCTTTGAGTGTTCAGTGGATCAGGGGCTGGGCATTCCAGAGGGATGCCCGGAGGGCTCACAGGTTAGTGTGTGCCTATTGCTTGCCTGCAGAGACACAGCATAGTCTGGGGGGCAGGGAAGCTGAGAGGGGAGTACCTGTGCTGTCTTTGGCCAGGGTTATCAGGGAGCTGACCCCTGGCAGGCACAGACAAGGTTCTCTCATGCTAACGACAGGGAGCAGCAAGGTACCTCACAATCCTGGGTACCCCGGGAAGCATCCAGATGCCATTATTAGGTTTCAGATATAATACCCTTCTGAGATTAATGGAGCCGTGCACAACTCATAAAGCTATTGGTTCAAGCTGTCTGCAGACTCCGGCAAACTTCACTGCATTGCAGTATATTCAGTTCACATTCTGGAGGTTGTCTTCACAACCAGAATACTAAAGAGATTTTTTTTAAACGAAAGTCTAGATTAAGGAGCACTTGTAAGCAGTGATTAAAAACAAAAAACAAATACCACCATCTGCAGGACCATGGATGACACCCAGTTTTGGTAGCCACTAGTAGGCTGCCCCAAAGTTGAGGTTACCTATTAAGAATCTAGGAAAGCCTCCATGTCCATAAAGCCCAACTAAACTGTTCGGCTTCTAGCAAGTTGTGAACTGGCACTGGAGGGTGACAGTTTCTAGAAACTGTTTGGAGAAGCCAAGGGAGTTTATATCAGTTAGAGACTGGCTATTCCCCAGAAGCCCAAACCCTAATTAACAATGGTGCTGCTTTAATTGATGTTTACAACGTGCGTCACAGCAAGGCCCTTCCAACACTAAGAATTTTCCTTTTAAATAACTTCACCAGCCTCAACTCACATTTTAAAAAATTGAGTTATGGAGGGAGAAAAATTGATGAGAACAATAAATGAAATGTTGGTAGGAGAGACTACCACTTATTTTTAATGTGTGTATCTCAAAAAAAAAAATACAGCTTATCAGATTCACTTCAAACATCCCCAACCTTTTCTCCCTCTCCTGAGAAATTTCAGGCTAAATAGCCTGTTTAGTTACTAATTGTTTCTTTTATTTTAGAAAATCAGAGGGGTAGAAGGGTCAATGTTAGGCCTAGAAGAGAAAGCGCCACAACCATCACTATGGAATCTCTACAATCAATCCACTGTTTTCTTATTATGAGCGATGGTAACTGTAAGGAGTGAGCTCCTTCAGCTGAGCCTGAGGACTAGCCAGCCCAGCCTCCAGGCCGATAAATGAGCTCAGACAGGTTGCAGCAGGACCACCTGATTGACCTGCCCACCTGATTGGCTGAAGAGAGCCCGCAGACCAGGCCTGTTTTAGGCTCAGCAGCAGGTCCCTGGTGGCTCGATTCTTATGTGCGCAGCTTGCGAGTGCTCCTGTGCCTGCCTTGTTCCCTGACTTGCTCCTGTCCTGTTCCACTCTGCTCCAGACCTGCTTCCTCCTGACTCTGATCCCTGGCTCAACTCTTGGGTCCCAACTCCTGCTCTGACCACTAGGCCTGACTCCCGCTTCAACT